GAGTTTCACAGCTTATATTATCAAAAATATGATTACAAAGTGTTTCAAAGCTCCCCTGAGTCCAGCGCTCATCAGCGCAATACCAATCTCTGCTCAACTCATCAATATGCCTTCCAAAGCATCARCGCTTCCCCTGCAGATTGTCTCCCAGTCATCAATATGGTCACAACTCRTCAGCGCCACCTCTGCAGTTCACCACCAACTCAGGTAAGTATCTCCCATAGCCAAACCTTGAATGAACACTCCCTATCTCAGTCCCTTCCTCTTTCGATGCATACACATTCTCTACTCATGAGGATCTACTCTGTATACTACTCMTAGCTAYCTACTAACCCTCTACTACTAATGCTRACTCGCTGGGCAGCTATGGCTGCRTCCCTTCCAGCGCACAGTCTTCTTCCTCCATTCAGCGCAGCTTCTACCTCCAGCGCTGCTCCTCCTGACTCAACGCACAAGTGCACTAGCACTTCCACGAAATGATAGCCAGTGGAGATCTGGCGAGGAATGAGGCAGGCAGCTCTTTTTATAGTGCTGGCCACTCCTCGCTGGGTCTGCATTGGCTCAATTCAGCCTCTCCCTTTGTCCCAGACCCTGCATTGCATGTGTCCCAGTACAGTCCCAATGAGGTTCAACTGCTGCTGAGGCACTTCGGCCTGGATTTGGACTTGAAAGTCTGGATCTGGACTGACCCCTTGACTTAGACCAGAACTGGGACTGTGCCTACTGACTTCACTTTCGGACAGGCACAACTCTAAACGAGCAGACACATTTACTACTTGAACAGGCACTTTCCATTGCACGAACAGGTACACTGCCTGCACGTACAGACACCCTTACCCGAACAGACATGACATACACATCTCCTGGTGAACAGGTAAGTCCTTTGACAATGCCCTTTGCCTTAGATTTAGATGTGCCTGTTGATAGAGAACTTGACCTTTGACCTGTTTTCACGTTTCTGAGCCCTGGCAAGATACCTTTTCACAATGCTTTACTCTTACAAGGCCCGTGCTGCTCTATTTTTACAAGGCCTGAGGCCTATATCGGGTAAAGGCCGTTTTATTAAGATAATGAGAATGATAATAGTAAATTATGAAGAAGAAGCTAACATGATATCATGGTGCTATCAACTTCCTCCCTACGTTATCTCGACGTGCCCGGTCAATCACCCAATCCTTCTGCTCATACACCAATCAAATTGCGCAGCTGTGTGCTCTGTTTGTCATTGTAGTAAGGGCACTCTGAATATTGTAGTATGTCATGTGTAAGTCATATGAGGTCACATACCATGCTTTTCGTACACAATTAGTCTATGGTTCAAAACTTTGTGATTCTGAGGTCACATTATACTATTATAGACAAGCTATGCTTTACTTTGTGCTCAGTATGTGCTATGTGTGAGTTCCTTTGTGGTTTACCTCGTATTTGAACTCTGTTTATTTTAGATGTTCTAACGCAATGAATTGCATAGGTTCATTGGTATGTGCTTAGTATGTGCTACGTCTGAGTAGCTTTGTGCTTCTTCTTCTTTTTTTTTTCTTTTTTTTTTTTCTTCTTCTTGTACTTGTCCTTCGTGTTCTTCGGCTTCTGCTTCTACTCCTCCGTCTTCTTCTTCTTTATTTTTCCTCTTCTATTAACACTACAATTTATCTTTGGTCGTAACACTACAATTTCTTTGGTCGTATCATGTATCCCATTTTTATAACGGTAGTGTCTTCATCTTTATGGGGGTTGCGTTTCCCATCTTCATTGTTGTGGGTTTTGTGCATGATTTTTTTTTGCGCGACTTGCATGTCGAGGTCACTTGAAATAAAATTTGGTAGACCGTATGTCTTTCGCATTGGTCGTCATCTTCCAGATGGCAAAGCCTCAAAATCCTTGCCCTGCCATTCACATTCATCTTGCTGGTCATTCTCTCTTGTACGAAACACACCGACAGGTTTCAAATCTATCATCATTCTCATTTGTTTTTCATATCCTTCAAATAACATAGCAAGCCCCGCTTAAACTTTACTACAGAAAAAAAAAACAAAAAACAAAAAATGACAGAAACTTTGAAATTTGAATGCGCTTCTTCTCCCTTAGGTCGCCACAAACATGGTTATTGGTCGCCGTATGTTGTGGGCTCACATCTCTCTCTCTCTCTCTCTCTCTCTCTCTCTCTCTCTCTCTCTCTCTCTCTCTCTCTCTCTCTCTCTCACACACACACACACACACACACACACACACACACACACAC